AAAGGTTTGGTGTAGCGTTTCGGGAAGCAGTTCGGGATGTCGTCTGATCCGATGGACTTATCATCTAAATGCAGTAAGAGTGAAAGCAGACTTGCTTCAATTATGACTAGGGCAGTCAACGTCTCGTTTCCTTCTATATTTTCTGGCCTGTAGGCTCGCGCAATGCCATTGTCAGGAGCATATACGAAGTGGGAAAAACCATTAAACGCTTCGGCCTGTTGTTTTTATTCATTGGGTGACATTGGTTTTTTATTCATTGGGTGACATTGGTTTTGCACTGTTCTCTTCACGCCTAATATAACGCCAGAGTTTCTGGGGTGAATGCTGAATAAAGTTGCCAAGTGTTGTATTGCAGAAGCGCTGTCTTGCTGACTTTGTTTCTTCTCTTAGAAGCCTGTTTAGGGAATTAATTTTTTGGAAGGTGAACCCTATTAGATTTTCTCAGTCTTTGTATTCCTTTCTTTAAGTGGATTACATCGCGTGTGATCCATGGGTTACGTTTGTTAATGTTCTTGTGAATTTGTGGGACATATTGTTTCAAGCAGTGCATAACATGTGCTTTGAATAGAAGCCAGATCTTGTCAATGATAGCCGAGCTGTTTGAGACCACTTCGTGCAATATGTAGTACTCATAGGCCAGATGGTCATAATGGAAGCATCATCTGCTCTGTTAAAAATTTACACAGACTTCCTAGTTTTACGATGAGCAATTTTTTTTGGAATAGTTAGGATACATAAAACCGTATTATAGTCAAATATTCCTTCAAGGATTTCGACGTTGTACTTTCCTTAAAAAAATCACTCAAGAAAACGAGGTCCAAGGTAGAGCTTGAAGTACCCTGCACACGAGTAGGCTGGGAAACAACTTGGGTAAGGTTGAAAGTAAACATAAGACTTAGCAATATATTATTTTTCATACTAGGTAGGCATAAAAAGTTCCAAATAATATCTGGGAGATTGAACTCTCCTCCCATTATTATGTAGCTCCCCGTCATGTCTTCTTGCATATACTCTAGAAGCTCATCAAGGTAGGATGCTTCGGCTTGCGGGGGTCTGTACACTGCACAAGCCGATCAGCAAGCTCTCCGTCGTATACAAGCTATTTACAAAGGTAATCACTAACAGAATTAAGACATTAGAATTCAATCAACCAAAGGAACAAGCAGGATTTTGAAGAGGCTACTCAGCAATCAACCACATTCATACTATCAATCAGGTAATAGAAAAATGCTCAGAATACAGCCAGCCAATACACATAGCCTTCATAGATTATGAGAAGGCCTTTGATTCAGTAGAAATATCTGCAGTCATACAGACACTGTGGAAGCATATGTGAACATTCTGGAAGAAATCTACAGGGGACCAACTGCCACAATAGTGCTCCATAAAGAAAGCGACAGAATAGCGACCAAGAAGCGTGTAAGGCAGGGGGATACAATCTCCCCAATGCTATTTACCGCGTGCTGACAGGAGGTTTTCAGAGGCCTAGACTGGGAAGAGTTAGGGATAAGAGTTAATGGAGAGTACCTTAGTAACCTGCGCTTCGCTGATGACATCGCATTGCTGTGTAACTCAAGGGATGAATTGCAACTCATGATTACGGAGTTAAGCAAGGAGAGCAGAAAGGTGGGTCTTAAAATTAATCTGCAGAAAACAAAAGTAATTACAACAACCTCGAAAGAGAACAGGACTTCGAGATAGATATTATTGCACTTGAAGTTGTAAAAGACTGCGTCTATTTTAGGACAGGTTATAACTGTGGAACCGAACTACGAGATTGAAGTAACTAGAAGAATAAGAATGGGATGGAGCACATTTGGCAAGCACTCTCAAATCATGACTGCTAGATTGCCACTATCCCTCAAGAGGAAGGTATACAACAGCTACAACTTGCCGGTACTTACCTACGGAGCAGAAACCTGGAGGCTTACAAAGAAGGTTCAGCTTAAATTTAGGACGACGCAGTGAGCGATGTAAAGGAAAAATAATAGGTGTAACCTTAAAAGACAAAAGAGCAGAGTGGATCAGGAAACAAGCCGGGGTTAAGGATATCATAGTTGAAATCAAGAAGAAATGGACATGGGCCGGGCATGTAGCGTGTAGGCAGGATATCCGCTGGTCATTAAGGGTAATAGGCTGGATTCCCGAAAAGGCAAGCGGGTTAAGGGGAGAAAGAAAATTAAAGGGGCAGGTGAGATTAGGAAAATTGCGGGTATAAAGTGGCAGCAGCAAGCACTGGACCTAGTTGACTGGCCGAACATAGGAGAGGTCTGTGTCCTGCAGTAGACGTAGTCAGGCTCATGATGATAATGAGATGGCACCACCTGGTATTTTTTCATCTTTTTTTCAAGGAACAATGTGGGGGTGGGTTCATTATGTGAGTGGGTTCGTTATGCAAGTAAATATGATATTGACAAGAGGAAAATAACATGGAAAGAAACTCCCATTAAAGCTTTTTCAAGGTTACTATTAGTTATATGCAAAAGCCTATATAGCAAAAGTTATATGCAAAGGTTTTTATAGGAAACCAGTGCTGGAGTTTCCACGAGCATAGAGCGCGGCCAGAAGCATTAGGTCGTAAAAACAAATACCAACGTGAACTATGCTGCTGTGTGCAATGATCAGACTAGGAAAAAGAAGCTTCGAGAGCGGCGTTATTGTTGTATTCACGAATGCCACGACAAAAAAAGATTTTATCAGGAAGTATAATTCGGAGCATGCATGTTGACTTCCTCTGGCATCAATTTCCAGCAATGCATAGGGGTTGGGGCTCTGGAAATCATCTGAAGTCGTTTAATTAAAAATTGCCTTGAAAACGTTCAAGAAAGAACATGAAAACTTAGGGTGAGTAAGCATCGCACCGTATATTACACACATTGTATTTATTCGATTGTAACAAAACCGCGATCGTAAAGCGAGGGGTGAAATTTCATTGCGTTTAGCAAGAAAAAAAGGTTAGAATCTCGGTATTTGGTACGTGAGGGTCGACTTCAGTAGCAAAAATCTGAAATAATAAAAAAAAGCTCGCGTCACATTCTAGTAATTACGGTATGATATCTGACTGTCACGTGCACAGTTCCAGACCGGTTACAAGACGATGACTGCTAGAAAAACCGCGATCTACGCATGTTGCATAACTGACCACACAGTGCATGTCAACTATGGAACCACCACAAAGTCAATTACCACCAGGTTATTGAAAGGCATTCTTTCTTGTTGTTTTTTTAAGTATCAGGCTTAGAGGACGGCCGACCGCAAGTTTGCGAACCGTCTACAGACGACGGCGAGTCGTCTTCGTTGAAGCACGACCGCTGCGGCATGTTTGCGTTTCCGCTAGCACGTCTAATCTCCGCTTTACACTGTCCTTTCATGTGAAGGTTGCCTTAGACATTAACTTCACAATTCACCTTCATCTTCAAAAGCTCATTTTGAAGTCTGCGATACGAGCATTTTGTGGGTTTACGCTAGCCATTGAACAGATCATAAAGGAAAGCCATAGCGAAACTGCTTCTGTAATATATAGTGCAAGAGCTGTGACTACTAACTGCGTAAGTGTCATGTTCTCGCTCAAAACGGCTGACTCTGGGCCGAATGCTATCTCAGAGCTGCGTGAGAAACGATTAATTTTACTTCAAAGCAGGCTTATAGCGAATAACCTGCGCACTACGTTGAGCTTTGCGAGCGCTATTTGAACACACTTCCTTGTAAGTTTATGCCATACAATTCTTGGCACAATGTCGGAAGGTCACACTGTTTTTTTAGGTCACAGACATATGTACTTCACATTGGATGGCGTCTGTTTTTTTGCCAACACAGCCTCGCCTTAATATCGGACCGCACAGACCACATCGCTGAAACTGTTGCGGAGAATAATCGCTGGCATTGCTGCTCAACCACTGCATCGCAGTTTTCAGCCAAGTGTCCAATGCTTTGCTGGTCTTGCGTGTTCCAAATTACCTACAACATGATGCACATTGGACAAAGTTGGGGGTAGTTCCGCTTGGCGTTCACCACAAATTACGGTGTGCACGATGTGTACAGGGCACGTTAACACTTGCCTGTACACATCGCGCACAGTTCACCTCGCAGCGACTACACCTCGCAGTGACTCTATCCTACTAGCTGGTTCTCAACCAGCTTGCCAGGGTGGCGCATCGTGTATATTTTAGGCGCGCATGTAGAAAGGGTAGGTGCGGCACTTGAACAGTGCTGGCTTCCCATAGAGAAGACAGAGGGGTTCATTAAAATTGATTGATTAATATGTGGAGTTTAACGTCCCAAAACCACCATATGATTATGAGAGATGCTGTAGTGGAGGGCTCCGGAAACTTTGACCACCTGGGGTTCTTTAACACTCACCCACATCTGAGCACACGGGCCTATAGTATTTCTGTCTGCATCGGAAATGCAGCCGCCGCAGCCGGGATTTGATCTCGTGTTCATTAAAAATTAACTTGTAATTGGGCACCAGAGGGGCTATTATGTAAGTGTCCTTTCACAGACCAGAGAAGGAATTGAGCAGAAGAATGGCAGGGAGCCACACGAAGTCTAGTCTAATGGTCAAGAGGTGAAAGTAGCCACAGTATGGGCATAGGACGGGTGGAGGTCGTGTTTTGTTGATGAAATAAATAAAAATTGGCCTCAAGACGATATAGATTGGATCTAAACGTAAGTGCTTAAGCCCAGAGAATTATATTAGCCGGTTTCGTGCCTGGCTTACTCGCATGCTGCACTGATAGTTTGGGAAAATTGCTGCCGAACGACTCGTCAGATTGCGTCTCTCCCTAGCATTCACTCGATACAAAAACAGAAATAAAAGTCATCTTCCCCCTCAATCTCAAGCTTTTAAAAACAATGCCTGCCATTATCGATGTGGAGCTGTAATAATAATTTTGAATTTCTTGATGCGTTCAAGGCATTCTTATTTTCCTCAGCTTACAAAACCCCCCACCCAGTTGTGTCGGGTATCACACAGTGGACCTCTATAAACATTTGTGCAGGAGCCCCAAGCCTCGTAACCGGCCTTCATTCCGGCACATTCTGATGCACTTGGACATAGCAGCTGTGGAGATTCTGAGCACACCCAAGGAGAGCTACTTTGCAGCCCAGGCTGGCTGGAAGGAGGAGATACGACGCTACATGCAGAGTATCCGTCAGGAGGGCCAACCCCAGGGGGAGCAGGAACTGATTCGGCGGCGGCGGGAAGAGCTTCGGCATGCGCAAGACATTCGGCTACACTACGAGCGCAAGTTGGAGCGCACCAATAACCTCTACATGGAGTTCACTGCTTGCCTGCTGCAGCTAGAGCAGCGTGAGCGGGAAATCATCAGGTGGGTCTTCCCTAGTTCATTTTTCTTTTTTTTCTTAGTAAGTGATGAGGAAAAAACCCCATCACACGCAAGACCATGAAAGATGGCAACAATGGTGAGGAAATGATTTCTATCAAATCGTAGTAAGACAGATAAGGTTCAGGGGAAGGTGAAAGCGATGGAAAATTCTGGAACACTGGGTGTAGCTGCAACAGGCATCTTTGCCTTCTGTTACATTGTTAGCACCAGGGACGAGGCAGCTGCACATATTGCACATTTTTTATATGTTTCTGTTTTCTTGCACCAAGCTGCTCCAATATCATAAAAATCCCGAAAATTGCACCGACCTTCTCCAAAACAGCATCAATTGCAAGAATTTTGATGCCAATCTTAGCTTCAAAGGGAAAAAAAGGCCGAGTTGACCACAAAATTTTCCGAGCAGCGCCAGGAATACCAAGCAATAAGATGTGCCCAAGCGTGTTTTTTTTTTACTTTGCACCTTTCTGGTGCCATCATAATTTCCTTGGCACTCTTGTAATATGCGTTACCCTGCAAAAAATGTGCTGCCTTGCATCGAGCATGCTGGGTATACTAGTTAGGCTGTGTGTTCTGGCACCTCTGTCGCTTTGCGAAAACCACCGAATAGGTATGCGTAGTGGGCTGGTTCTTTGTTGTGCGTAGCACTTTTCTCCGGTCAATGCGGTTTTCTTGTCAACGCTCCTATGTGCACGCGCTCGTTTGCCATGAGTGAGTACTTTGTTGCGTATACGTGTAGTCATCCCTCTGTATGCAACACATCTTTTGGATGCTCTGGCGCGTAGGTTCTCAAACTGTTCCGTGAGGGATGGAACGCGTGCAACCCTCTCCCAGTTTACCCTCATTAACAACTAATGTATTTAAACAAGCCAGTTTTTATTGCATTTTGCATTTAAAAAAGCCATCACACTACAAATCTGCTCATCGGTGTCTTCAGCTAGCGAGAGATCCGCTTAGTTGTTTGCAAACCTACGATGGCAGAACGCGCGTTCAAACCAGTTTAAACAATATTAACAGGCACGTTGGCACTTTATTTATGACTCGTGATGCCTCGGCAATCGTGCGCCACCGTTTTCACAAACAGTGAAATCAAATCAAGATTTATTATTTCATAGTACAATGTACAAGAAGGATATATGTACCGGAGAAGGTCCTGTAGGATGCACTAAAATATGATCTCCTATGAAATTTAAGCATAAGTATTTGATTGGCAACAATAGTGGAAAAAATAATAGATCACAAGGTTACAATGAATGGGATACAAAGACAATTAAATGACGATGCTAACATCAACTACTATATGTCATAGGAAATGTAAACTGTAAATAACTATATCTATATCAATAGCATAAAAAAAAGAGACTGGAGAGAGATTGCACATAGTGAGAGAGAAACCAGTTAGGCAGAAGAATGAGTGTCGCATTACAAAAATGTTTTCAATTGATGGCAAAATTTATGTGTTCTTTGAACCTTTATCAGAAATGCCAATGTATTTCATAATGATGATTAGTTCGCACTTTGGGCAGAATGAAGTTGTTATGGTATGCGAAACAAGTTGGGTTAGTATTTAGTAAAGATGATCAAGGCAGTGATGTTCCGTACTATGCCAAAGAATTCCCATTCAGAGACATGAAAATTCCCTATTTCGGGGATTTTATCCTGGAAACGTTGATGAAATTCCCAGCATATTTTCCTGCACTACAGTACTAATTTCCACCCCCATTCACAAACACACATACTATAATTACACGTGCTTGACATACTGGTGACTTTTGAAATTACGAGTTCATGACTAGCCCCTACACTGCCGCACAACGAAAGCATGACTTTACTAATTCATATACTGTTATTATACTGCACATTGTGGGCTTCAAGTCTAATACCAATAGTAAATATCAAAAACAAATCTCAAGTGCCATGCTTGCATTGTGCATGCATGCATCAGCACTGATTACAGCAGATGAAGGCGCACTGTGATCGCTAATTACCGGTTGTCATAGGAGAATTTAACATTCCTAAAATTCTCTGCAATATCACGAAGATTCCCTTTTTCCCTCTGGCTCAAAATAACAGGCGTAAATTCCCCCAAAAAGGGAAAATTCCTTTGCCGAACATTACTAGATGAAGGAATTAATGATAATGAGATTTGTTCATTAATCAGTTTGAAAAGAAAAGTGGCAAGATTGATTTTTACTAAGGAGGCAACATTTAGAATTTTATTTTTTTCTAGCAACTGTATAGCATTGTAGGTGGGTGGACTGAACGTGATTAATCGAGTTGCCTGGTTCTGTATGCTTTGTAGTGGTTTTAGGTGAGTGGTGTACGTGTTGAGGTTATGCAGTAATTGATGCGCGAGTGTACAAACGCAAAATGATGTGAGAGCAAAAGGTAAAAAAAATGGACGTGCTTTGATGAGGATGCGTATTCCTAGAGATTCTTTTTAAGGTGTGCTACATGGTTTTGAAATTTCAAGTTATGGTCATTATTATTGTCTAAATAAATACTTTCTTCACTTACCAATAATGCATGGTTATCAATGAAAATGGCCTTAATGCACTGTGGTGATTTATTTTGTGATGAGAACAAAAGAAATTTAGTTTTAGAGGGACTAATGGTAAGTCAATTAGTTTTATACCATTCTAACAAGTTGTGAAGCTCACTATGAAGCTGGGCTAATACTACTGATAGATCTTCATTAAAATTAATAATTATGGTTTCATCAACATATAATATGTTTTTTAAAGATGGTATGACAATTAGGCAGATCATTAATATAAAATAAAAATAGCAAGGTGCCCTAAATTGACCCTTGCGTTACAGCTAAATTAGTAATTTTAGATTTAGAGTGAGTATTATATATACTAACAACCTGATACCTGTCTCGTAATTAGTCGTGTAGTAGTAGTAAAGGAAAACCAGTTATGCCAGTTCAGTCTAGTTTAATAATAAGAATGTAATCATCAATAGTGTCAAATGCCTGGGTAATGATTCCTGGATGCAGATTCTTCGAATATAAAACCTGCAAATTTACCATCATTGATGGCTTTCTTTAGTTGGTCATTAAGAGATATAAGTGCTGGGTCAGTAGGGTAACCTGATCTAAATTCAAATTGGTCAATTGAAGGTATATTAAATTCGTTTAAATATTTTATCAATCGTTTCTCAATTATTTTTTCATTGACCTTGCTGAAAAAAGGTAAAAAACAGATTGGTCTATAATAAGATACTAATGAGCAATCTCCTTTCTTAAAAACTGGAGTTATTCTACCGCATTTCAGTTCTCGCAGAAATATTCCTATTATAAACATGAGATTGATAATGTTAGACATCATAAATAGTACTGGTTTACAAATAATTTATTATGTCCCTGATGAATGTTATTGAGCCCAGCGCAGAAAATAGAACAGCCCAAGGTGGGCGGTAATAATAATGTGTGGTTGCGTGCTTCTAGAGTTGTTATGAGTACCATTTGCTTATCACTTATTATACAAACGAGCATTACGAGATAGTGGGTGTGGCAAGATTTCTTGACTCCTGCGCTGTACTCTTGAAAGTGGTCCCGCACGAGGTGGCCGTGAACGGCGGTTGCCTTTTAAAAGCTTGCAGTACACTTGACACTATCATATCAGTTTTCTTAAGAGAAGGCTCATTGTTAAGTAACTATCGATCATAATTTTTTCCAATTCTGTATGAGTCTGATGTGTTTTTCTTTTTAAATGTTTCCAGCGAACCAAGTTTTCAAAACACTTTTTAAATATTATTTCATATGTTCGTTACAAGGGCTAGATAGGTCACTGGGTATGTGAAAAAGTAGTTCAGTTCATACCTGGGGATAATCGGTTCAAAGCTACCCGCAGGTCGCGGGATCGAATCTCGGCTGTGGCGGCTGCATTTTCAATAGAGCGAAAATGCTGTAGACCTGTGTGACCAGATTTGGATGCACGTTAGAGAATCTCAGGTGGTCAAAATTTCCAGAGCCCTCCACTACGGCGTCTCTCATAATCATATGATGGTTTATGGACGTTGAAGCCCACATATCCATCTATCTAATCGGTTCAAAAGTTTTTTGAAAGGTTGTTTTGAGTGTTATGTCTATTATAAGCCAATTAATTTATGTGCTTGCACTCCCAGGTTTTTAAAAATTTGTTTTTTAAGCTCCTAGGACAACATATTAAATGCCGCTAACTGTTTCAAAATTGAAATTTTGCTGCTCCAAAAACTGCTCCCAATTCAGTCTCAGCCATTTCACCCATATTAGCACTTGTATGCGCAGTGTCATAAAGTTAACATACAGATTCAAAGGACATGCTCCCCCTTTGAGCACATGCATTAAAACCTATAGCCACTCTGGTGCCGCCATGATGGAACGATACTCGGCTTTCGTGTGACGTTCACTCACTCTCTCCACTGTATGCTGCAATAACCCTTGGCATTTTTTATGTTTCGTGGATCTCGCAGTAAGAGACTTGTTACATCAAGTCAAGCTCTTGGCTGATGGCAACAAAAAATATGGACGAGGCACTATATACGGCTCTCCCGACGCGCAAGCAAGCTGGTGCAATCCTCTCAGCATTACAGGGATGGTGGCGCCATCTACTTAACAAAAATGCAAATGCTCCATTTTGCACGCAACACATTGCATAAATGGCTATTGGTATCTCTCCTAAATGTAGTTGATATAAACGTCATGCAATTTTCCTTGAAATATAATACATGAATGCAGTTGTTTACGATTTGTACTGCTAGATTTTCAGTGTTTTAAATGTCTAAATTTACCACTTCCTTAAGTATTGTCATGGCAACATTGTCAACATTCCAAAATGTCGAAGCTTTGGTGGTTATGGCTTTTTTGGCCCAGCTTTTCTTCTAGAGTCAATATATTAATTCTATGCGCGATGCCATGTGCACTTACACTGACCAAAAAAAATGAAGGCATTAGTGGTGCCAAGCTTGAGACCAGGATGATGTGTCGTCAGTACGACTCG